TATATATATATATATATATATATATTTCTTGCTTTTTATTTGTGTGTTTAATGGACTGTTTAATAGTGAAAGCTATCAAGCTAGTCAAAATGACCGATAATTTGGAAATCTTTCTTGGAAATTTCGTGCATGTCAAACAGTACATTATTATCTAAATAATAACAGTAACATAATAACAGCGTGTTAACATTATTATCTAAATCTAAATGATTTCTCGTGAAATGTACAAGCAAAAGCTTTTGTATTCTAGTATATCATAAATATTACTTTTCTATTTATTTTAATGTCTGATGAGAATTCTATGCTTTAATCATCGACAGTTCTACTGTTAATAACGAGTAGTACAGCAGTATAATATGTAAACTATGTAAGAGTTGTTCTAAGAGTTATTATAGGTAAATTAAAATGAAAATCACAGAATTATAGTACTGTGTCTAATAAAGTTTTTTTTTATCGTCTCGAGGATTGATAGCTTTCTGTACAACTTGGTCCAATTGATTTTATTGATTTTTACCTCGAAAAAGTGGTAAATCTTGGCAAGGATTATATTTATAAACTGATGTCGTGAAAATTCTATGAAAAAACCAGGTATTCTTATGATATGATAGAAATGAAATTCACAGAAAATTCAAGCAAAGCTCACATATCATTCACCGTCAATTTCTATGCATTCTGCAATGTTTATTCGAGAATTTTAAAAATGAATATACAGTCATGTAAATCCTTGTTTTGTGTCTTAATTTATATTTATAGTAACCGTGTTACTGGAAATAACACTAAAATTTAGAGAACAACGCAAACAGTTTCAGAGGAGCAATCAATTCTCCGTCTGTTCTGAAGGCTTTTCATTACACTGTGAACAAGGGCTGGAGAATCAATACTTCGAACAATCGAGGAAAAAAGAAAGCCTTGAAAACGGCTGCGCGTTCAATGTCCCATTGAAAACAATTTCCCGATTTTCTGTTACTATTAACCGGCCGCCGATCGGCGAAAGGAAAACTACTATGGCAGGCCATTTGCACGAACGAATTCCCGAAGCGAAGTGTTGACTGCGCTTTTATTGTTATTATCTTCGCCTGTTAACGCGAAATTAATGAGGTTTCTTCAACAATACGCCGGCAGAGGGGAACAATAACAGACGATCAATCGCAGCTATTGTTAATTACAATCCACAAGATGTTGGAAAAGATCTAAATAAGCAGTTCGAACAATCAAAGTCCTTAGCCGGTATCTGGCTAAGAAATCTCTCTCTCTCTCGTGACCATTATCAGGTACCATTTTCTTCTAATGTTCAGGAAACATTCTGACAGACGTGGCGTCTGCGGAAATAAATACTTTCCACGTATTTTACATATGGAAAGGAAAAAGAATCGAGAAAAAGAACCGTAACTGGATGTATCGAGAAAAAAAAAAGAAGAAGAAAAAATCACACAGCAAGTTCTAAGGAGAGTTCAATCTTCGAGATCTAGTTTCTCATTTTTTAACGTCTCTAGAGACGGTCGAAGTTCCACAAATCTCGAGAATGAAGATTCAAGAGATTCTAATCTATTCCTAAGATGTTCAAAGTTCGATAAAATAGTGGAAAAGGGATCGTACATGTCATTGTAAGAGGAGGGGAGTTCAGTCGTCGAAACGATTTGCGTGAAAAATTTTTTGGAGGCTTGGAAATTTCGATAATTTACGAACAAGAAAATCTATTTGCTGCAGAATCACGAGTCTAGGACTTGGGTTAAAGTAGATGCTTCAAAATGAGATCAAGTGGACTGTTGGTTACATAATGTTTCCTTTATCAACGGTTTCAATTATCATCATCGATTGTTGGTTACGAGTTGGTACGTACGTGTATTAAGGCGCCTTTCTATTACATAATATTTCCGTATGCTAATGTCGATTACACCGTTGCGTAACAAAACGCGTGGTTGAAGATTCGATATCTGTAGACGTAAATGTGAGTTTATCAATTATGCGAGGGGGAGAAGCAAGGCGTCGATAGTGATGATAAAGGCTGCGAGTATCAGAGAACGAGCTTACGTGCCCGATCGGCACTGAACTTTTCTCGAGAAAAATCTCGAAGAGTTCTCGATATACCGCGTATGTATACTAGATTGTGTGATATAAACTCGTTTCTTACACTTTTTTTGAAGGAGTATTCATATATTTACAATGATGATATTCTACGGATAATACGTGTTGTGATAACATAATTTATTCCGTAGATAATGTTCGTAATAATATATGTACTTATATATGTAATAAAATGCAAAACATATATATATATATATTTATTTATTTATATGTAATGATATAATACGCTTAATGAATATATAATTTATTAAGAATGATCATTTATTGAAAATTAAAAATTCTTTATTATTCCTCGTATTTTCGCAAAAGAAAAAATTTCACTGAATCTCTGTATTCTTTAAGCTGAATTGTTTGAATTTTGAAAAAAGATTAATAACAATGGTGCAGTATCTAGACATAAACAGAAAATTAGAATCAATAGTGTGATGATAATTGAAAAGAATGACACTGATAACAAGTGAATTTTCAAATAAATAAGAAGTTTGGACAAATTCCTATAATTATTTATAAATGTAACTACGTTCATTTTTATCATCTCGTCCTCGTCCAAGACGTACATATCGAAATACGTGTTAATTCCTCCGAATGGCTTCAAAGTGAAGTTCAAACTCGCTTTGTTTGATCCTCTGGATCTCTCGAACTCTCGATGAGGATCCCTCATCGTCGTTGTTTGCACATCTGTTGATCTGCTTGCCTTTCCAGAAAGTCGGTCGACTTTATCTTCCAGCACTTCGCTTTATTTACCAAAGTATCATCTCACACGCGGTATGTGTATAATTATCGCGAGCAGGTAACACGCTTACGCGTACGACAGGTAATTCGTAAAATTCGGGAAAACGAGGCAATCAAGTAGATTTTCTTCTGATTTCCCATTCGATTCAATTTATATTTCCTAGTATCAAACAGCACTACATTTAGAATCTGTACAAATCAGCGTGATTAAAATGGGTAATAAAATACGCATTATTGTCCATAGAAATATTTCGAATCTTTGCTTCCTTTTAAATATATTCAAAATTCGCTTTATGTCCGAAATTAGGAGGAATAAGTAAATACTAATTATAGTAATTTCATTTAACTTGCGTATATTTTTGTTTCACGTTGACAAAAAAAAGTTCCACGTTCTAAACATGTAACAACGCTCGATTACTCGTTACCTTAACAATATAGTTCTTCTTCTAAATTATGTCGTCATAATATTCTAATAATATATAATCTATAATAGTTCTTCTAATATAGTTCTTCTTCTAAATTATGTCGTCATAATTATCGTTCTCTCACTTTATTTCCTCACAGTCAAACGGCCACGTTCTGTTCTAATTAAACAAAAGGCTAATTTTCAATATCGAGAGGAGAAACTTAATTCACTTGTCAATTTACCGATTCGTATGTTCTTTTCGTTCTTTTGAAAAAAAAAAAAAAAAAAGAGATCGACATTGAACGTTATCGAAATCGTGGCGAATCACATATTCTACGGCTGTTTCATCCGCGAGCAGATTTCGATCTACGGATTTGATATCGATACGCGTTGATAAAAGAGGAGAGGATGGATGGAATTTTTTCAGATTCGTCGAAACTCGTGGATTGTTGTGTATTTCTTTTTTTTCTTTCTCAGCTTGGAATTTGGAGTCAGACTCTTCACGATCTGTGTCGGATAATTCGAGAATCACATAATCGGACGGCTGATCTGTTTGTTATCAGTCTGTTTCGTCAGTTTTGCCGGATGTCCCTTCTCTTTTTAATTCTCTGATTTTTTTTTTTTCCACCAAGACAAATTACTTGTCTTTTTCTTGCCTGGAAATTTGGAAGTCAGATTTTCGACAATGGCCAATGCAGAATTGTTCTCTCTGGATTTGTGAATTTCTTTGGATTTTTCGTTTCTAAGGAAGCGTTAGTCATTTTCAGTTTGAAAGAGCGTAAATTATTATTTCAAGAAAATATGTAAGACCAACCTGATCTTGCAACATCAGAAATTTTATATCCATAAAGTTTGTACCAAAAATTCTAAATTGGCCATTTCCACCATTTTGATAGTTTTGAAAATTAACATTGGAAACATGTTCCAACGATTATAAATTAATCATTCTGGCCACTTTGGTGGCTCTAGCATTGGAAATTCATTAAAATAGAAGAAAAACAAAAGGAAATTTGAAAAGTCGAGCAGAGGGAGAGAGAGAGAGAGAGAGAGAGAGAGAGAGAGAGCTACAATGAGACGGTGCAAACAGCCACAACGTTGTAGGAAAAAAAAAAAAAAAAGAAAGAAAGATACGTCGAAGATATAACGACTTACGAGTTTGTCGAGCGGATGACAAAGGCGTGTTCTTTCTCCGTGGAAGATAATATGCTACGTTCGTGTACACAGGTGGCAAGACGCAGATGCTGTGTCTAATCGTCTGGATGAACGGATGTAGTATACACGGCCAATGTATTCATCCAACGATCGATTTTTTTTCATCGCGTGAAAAAAGAGCAACTTTTGCTCTCTAATTGAAGAAGCTGTTTCGCGTCGACGAAGCAGCTCAATTTTTTTTCTTAACAATTGT